GACGACGACGAGAGAGAGAGAGAGAGAGAGAGAGAGAGAGAGAGAGGAAGTTTAACGACCGTGTGCTCGCGTCGGTCCGTCCCGATCCACGATTCCCCTCCGACTTCCTCGTAAATCTTGCTCCAGTTCCATTTCCCACTCGATCTTTCCGCCCGGGTATCGACTTACTTTCACGTGCACTGGACGACGTATCGACGTCGCGTTCGCAGTTCCAACTTCGGGGAAACCCGGCTTATTTCCTGCCTCCCGTTCAACGCTTCTTCCGCTTCTCCAACTTTTCCAGATAAAAAGAAGAAGAAGAAGAAAAAAGGAACAACTTCATTTCCCTATTTCGTCCACGCCATTTCCTCGCTCCGCCGTTCAACTTTCGAAGAATCTTCCGATAATTATCCTATTTTGATTTCATTTATCCCGACTCTTTTCAATCGTTGCATGATTTTCGATCCGCGCGTTAACGAAATTGTACGAGGGAAAAAGAAGAGAGAGGAAAAGAAAGAAGAGGCGTAATAACGCGGCGGGCGTTCCGTGCACTTGAAAAATTCAGCAGTTGGATACGCAAAGAGACGGGATGGGTCCGGACGAGGTGGATCGCAACGATTTCCACGATGGAGGACGATGGAGCGAGGAGAGTAACGCGGAGGCAGTGTAGGGAGAAGGTTGAAGAGGGGCGGTCGTGTCTGTCCCCGGGGGCTCAGCTGCGGCGGCACCACCAGTGATCGATGTCTCCACTCTCCGCAATTTGAACAATGTCCCGCTGTCTTGGACACCCTCTCTCTCCTCCTCTCTCTCTCTCTCCCCCTCTCCGCCTCTCATTTTCCGCCTCTTCCGTTTCCTTCCTTCGTTCCCCTCTACGTCCCTCCTTTCTTCCTCTTTCACAGCAGTCGACCGCCATTCTCCGGATTCTCGTCCGTTAAAAACGAACGTTATACCGAGCAAGAAGGACGCGCGCTTCTATTCTTATTTACCGTTCGTGGCTGAATACGAGAGAGAGGCTGGAGAAGAATACGCGTGTGTTGTACATCGAGGCTTGGTTTTTCGAGGTGGGGTGGCCGCGACTTCTTGCCCCGATGGAAACCTGAGCAATCACAAGCTGGGGGGGAAGAGGGGTCGGGTTAAACAAACGCGACGGGGATGAGAACGTCTGAAACGCGGTGGTTGTGGTCGACTAAGGGATCGACCTTTAAAAGCCTTTGACCCACCCTTCGTGCGTGGCTCCGCTTTCTTATTGGAAAATGTGTTCGCGGACGGGACCATCTCCACGTAGGATCTCTTCGTATTGTTAACGTTCATGCCAGCTATTTCTTTCTTTTTCTTTCTCTTTTTATTTCCCTGAATAATCGCTGTGCCCGCCGCTTTGTCCTTTTGTGAATTCGAGACACGAGGAAATTGAATTTTAATTCGTAAGTAACCAAGGAGTAAGTCGGGATAAGTCGTAAAAAGGGATTAATAGAAAATTGCAGGGATCACGAGAAGAAGCGAACGCGTTGAAAAGAAATCTCATGTTAATTATGCGCGTGTTACGATCCTTCGATTATATCTCTTATTCGTTAACTTTTATTCGAAAGCTTCCAACTTTATCTCCCGTTATTTATTTACATCGGTATTTTTCTTTCATATCTACGAGTTCTACGAAAAATTCAAAAAATTTCGCCAAGATGCACGGACAAAACTAAAACGTTCTGCTAGCCAATGATACAAAAGGAATCGTGAATGGACGTGAGCGAAGGATCGATTCGAAAGGAGAAAGGAAAGAAGAAAAAAAAAAAATTCCAGGAATAAGATTCGTCCAGGATAATTCAACGTCGAAATTCGCATTTCGGCCTCGGGCCATTTGTCCTCTACGTATATATATATATATATATATATACATAGGCATTGGTTATCGAATTAGATTAGGCAGGTAGGTTGAGATCACAGCGTGTTTGCGTAGAACGTTCGGCACAATAGTTCTCAAAGGGGGTTGAGCAAGGAGCGTGCATACCTTGGATGAATGCAAACAATGGCGTGGAAGGAGGCGATGGCGCGCCGAATTGTCCGCCAAGTTATTCAAGGGTCGTTACGTCAATGCAGTACGCTGCCGGTACTTTGAAACTTTAAAAGCAAATCTCATCCTTTGTCCGATAAATTCCGATATTCCTCCTCCACCTTAGACTCCCCCTCCCCCTTCCTATTAGCGTACAGCCGTGTAAATGAATCGGTCTTAAGATCAGCGTGGTAATGGCCGATCAGAGGAGACGATAATTCTCCTACCATCCTCCCCCCCCTTCGTTCTTTGTCCTCCCTTCGACCAAGTTTCCGCCATATTCTCGCGGATTAACATTCTCGATCCACCGTTTTACATTACGTTACGTCCTCAAAATCCCTACTAAAATCCATAATTAGCCCCCTCTAATTAACCAATCTCTCATCCACGTCACGTTCCCTGGAAAAACACATTATTAGAAGCTCTACGGTGCAACATCTTCACCTCTTTCAACCTCGTGTTCATCTCGACCGAAGGGAAGAAGAACCGTCCTCCCTCGTCTCGCGATAAAATTGAAATTTCGCAGGTCGGTTGGAAAAGAAAGAAAGAAAGAGAGGGGAAAAAAAGGAGGAGGAGGGAAGAGAGAGAAAGGAGAGGAGGAAAAGTCGGGGAAAACTTTTCAACGAGTTTACGAGCGCGTCCCCCTACCCCTGTGGTCGCGGCTCGTATCCGCGGCAAGAGGGTGAAATTCGGAGATGAAAAGCGTCACGGCTTTCGCGGCACGACTTCAATTCCACGGCACCGCGCGGAGGACGGATACAACACTCGCCTGCGTTTCGACCGCGGTGTTTGAAAAAGTGTTTCGTGTCATCGCGCTTCTTTACTTTCCCCCAAAATTGGACACGTTTTCCTTCACGACGACTACGCTTTTTCATAATTACGCCACGCAACGTTTGGTATATTATTAAGAGCGATTAAACGAACCGCTTTCGAGGGAAGCGGTAGTGTACTCGTAATTGGAAAATTGGTCGAGCAATTTCCACCTTCTCGATTCGTCCTGAGCGAAAGTTGCGGATTCGACCAACTGTGGGATCGGGAAATTAATCGTTGGAAATTAATTGGATACGATTTTCGAGTTTCGAGAGATTTTTCAAGTCGAGAATCAAAGTTGCTGAAGCTGAACTGGTCGAGCGGGCATGTCGTAACGCGATTAATATCGCGAGGTGGAACGAAATTTCTAGAAAAGTTACGCACGGCTTAAAGCAGTTTTAAACTCGAAAGATCGAAAGCGGAGAAGAGATTAAAAATGTAAGCTACGCGTCATTTATATCGCGTTGTAACATTAATTATAATACGCGATAAATGGTATTGGATGGTATTTTAATTGCCAAAGAATCGCCTTTTTTCCTTCTCGTCGTTATGCATACAAAAAAAAAAAAGAAATTACAATTCCTCCGAGTAGAAAGTTTCTGGTCGCTTACACGAATCCCTTCTTCCCTTAAAGAGAAACTTTGGATACCGTGGAAAACTTTAGGCCTCGTAAAGTATCATTTCGTCGTTAAGTAGGTATCGGGGGTGCAGGGAGGGGGGTTGAAAAGCTGACGTAATTACTCGAGATACGTTTAGCACGGTGAAACTACACACGGTAACAAGGAATAACCGATGAACGTCTAATCAAGCGTGCCGGGTATAATTGCGATTACAAAGCGAGCTGCGAAATAATTAGCGTGGAAGGTCATGGGATAGCTGTTATTAACGAAAATTAACCGAGCTCGATGCACGTGAGACGCGGGAGACGACAGTTTCCCGATGAACGAGAAACTGCAACCAGCAAAACAGAGAGATAGAGATATAGGATGATGTACAGGGTGTCTCGAGTGGAAATCGGAATAATTTTATCCGTTTCGTCTTTTCCTTTTCTTCCTTCGCACGGATGAAAAACGTGTTCCAATAATAAAAATACAAAAATGACGATAATTGTTAAAATTCTCATCTTATCTTGTTTCGATCGCATAATCTTCTCGAAAATTTTCGAGAAACTCATCGAGGAAAATCCATACGGAATACCACAACCCTGTTCGATTCGGAATCGATCCCCCTCGTCGAAATCGCGGCGGGCTGTCGTTCGATTTCCAGCCCGGACGGGACACCGTATGTGTGCACGGGTTGGATCGAAGGGAGGGAGAAAGCAAGCGATCTCGCGCGTCACCCTTGGTTAATAATAACGAGAATCGGCCGACTGTCGCGGATTTTAATTCGGAATGTTCAATTAGCGAGCGCGCGGCGAGCCGTGACACGAGCGTATCATCGCCGGTAACGACTGGCTTCGTTCTTCGTCGGGGTAACAGGCGTAAATTGGAAAGTGATACCGAATTCACGCGTCGCTGAGCGTACCCGTGCGATCACCGTGTTAATTATAGATATCGGAGAACGTTGCGTCGCCGGTGTATTTTAGGTAATTGGGGGTGGACCGTCCGCCGAAATCGACCTCCCCTTCCCTCGCCCCGTCCCTTCCCCCCTTCCTTTTTTCCCTTTTCTCCCCCTCCCCCGGTCCAGCTCTCACATTTTTCCAGCGTGCAGAGGAACGCGCGCGCATACGCCACGAAGGGAAGAAAAAAGGAGAGAAAGGAGAAAGGAGAGAAGGGGAAAAAAAGGAGAATATGGCCGGGGTAGATTTTTAAAATGTCCGACAATTTGTATCGGGGCCCCTCCTCCGAACTACACCTCCCCCTCCTCCGCCCTTGCCTGTTAAAACGTTCGACGTCGTAATTCTCGCTGAATTAATAATTTCATTGCCGCGAAGTGGCTCTCTTTTTATTTCTCCTCCTCCTCCTCCCCCCACCCCGGTTCTTGTAACGAGAAAATTAATCCGGAGAGAGATTCCGGTGGATTTTGGTTGTAATTAATACCATTTAATGGCTCTGCCTGGACCTGTAAAATGTCGACGTGAATCGTCGGGGTAAATTCAACGCGAGTGAAATGACAAGAAGAGAGAGAGAAAGAGGGATAGTTTCCTTCGGTATCCATCCCTTCTTCTAATATAATTCCAAATTAAGGAACTCTGCGTTACAGAATTTGATAATCTTAACGGGAAGAAAAGAGAGAGAAAGAGGAGTGATGTTTTTTTAACGAACTAATTCGGTCGCGTGGAACGAGTGGGCCGGTGGATAATTCCCATCGACGTTTTTTACGGCTCGAGACCGACGAAGCGCGGCGAAGAGAAGGCCGCAGTCGAAGAGAAAGATCGGGATAGGGGAAACGTTTACACGAACTTTTTTATCACGGTTGCGCCTTACTCCTCGCCGCCAAAGTTAAATCCAACGGTTTATGGGCCGAGGTGGATACATCGCCTCCCCTGGATACATCCTTTCTTGCCGTCTAGCTGTTTCCGCCCTATCCACCGGCGGAATTCATCCAATTTACGCGCGGAGGTTACACACGGAAGGGCGAAAAAATCAGCAGGTTCTCGTTACGAAAACACGTACACTCGTTGAATTAAAACTCGTTTGCGAACTCGTCTATCCATTGGGGGAGGGGGAGAAACCCGATGACAAAACCCCTCGGCCGGTGTTCGATTAATTTTCAGTAACAACGGCAATTACGCGCGCATCGTTTCGATTCTGTATCGGCGGCCACGGATGAACGATGCCTCGTTTTACTCGATCGACGCGTGATCCGAATCGCGATCACCTTTGCGAGCGGAATTGGAAAAATGTGAGGGGTGGAGCGGGAGCTAGGGAGTGTCGCCGTGAGAGCTCAGGTGTGTCGGCTGACGCGATCGGAAATCATTCGCGTAATTTTCGTCCCGATTCCGCGCGTTAAACGCGATCATAAATATCCGAAAATCCTACGCGTTTGTACGAATCTAATGATCGTTCGTCGAGAAGCAAACTTTACTTACGCTAACTTTTACGTCGAAATTTTAAAATTTCGCGAACGAATCAGCCGAGTATCAGAAATTATCGAATTACAGAAGTGCGCCGATCCAATCTCGAAACAATCTCACTCGACTCGAGCAGAAAGCGTAAAAATTTGAAGAGGAGGAGGAAACCTTTGGTAGAAGATACAGAGTTCTCTAGGTGATATTTACGTGCGGCGGTGTACGTGGAAACGCGATACACGGTCGATCGAAGCGAGAAACAAGGCGGAAGGGAGGAGGAGGAGGAGGATGCTGCGGGCGGAAAAGCGCGCTACTAGCCGGCCCGTTTGTGATTTAGCGCGATTGCCGGCGCACGATTTCGTCGAGCGAAAAGGGGTGCGCGCCACCGTCACCGATAGACGGCCGTCCACCTACCGGTTTCTACTTCCTAGCGGATGACTCGCCGGTGCGCTCGTGTTAGGGGATCCATTAGCTAATGGCCGCACCAGCCATCTGCTCCCTACGCTGCCTTTTATTCGCCCGTTTCTGCTCTCTCTTTTCCTCCCTCCTCCCCTTCGTCTTTTTCTCACATCCTTCCCGCGCTCGGCCGTCCCGTGGTTTAGCCAGACCCATAACATCGGGGTGCCACCGATTCATTTATTCCTATCTTTCTCTCCCTTTTTCCTTCTCTTTTCCCTACCTTTTTTTTCTCTTTTCTTCTTTTTTCTTTCCTCCTCGGTAAGCGAACCCTTCCCTCCGTCGCGGTTCCTTCGCGGTTCTCGTTCAACCACTCTTCTCCCTTTACGACGCTTCTCGTTATCGCGGAAAATGGGGGAGGATGTGCGCGAAATCGTCCAATCGAGAGAGAGAGAGAGAAAGAGTATCCGGACCGAGAATTTTCGAATTACGGAGCGAATAAATTTATCGGATTTATTTCGATTTTTTTTCGATTTTGTGCCGCGTTCGTTCAAACGCCGGCGGTTTTATTTTTTTTCGCCCTCGATTACTCGATGGAAGTTTGTTTTCGGAAGCGAAACGTTGATAATAGGTTTCCAGACAGCGATGTCGTCACAACGTTACGTACGCGTATTTCTTTCCGCCCGTTATTTATATACCGCGTGTATGGTTCTCCTCCACCACTAGGATACGAATTACTTGGCCGTAAAAAATTCAAGGAGATACGTATGGGTTTTAATTTCCGGGAGTCTGTATCGCCGAAGCGAAGGGGATACCTCAGCGCGGAGAATTTCTCGTTCCTTTAAAACGATGCCATTTCCTTGCCGCGATGAACGTGTGACGCCATTACGCGATGTTTATCACCCGCTATTGTGTCCCCGGTTATTCAACGTTAAATAGAAACGCGCAACCGTGGATAATGGCCTATTCGAAATTGATTATTTCAATCCCGTATTACGACAATAGCGAATTTCAATAGTCGCGTAGAAAATATTAATTTTCGGATCCCCCCATTTTCGAAACGCGGAAGATATCTTTGTTACGCGAGAAGGAGAGTCGAAAAGGAGGAGATTTCGCGAGAGAGAGAGAGAGAGAGAGAGAGAGCGGTGGAACGCAGCGCGTCGATGCGGGCTTTCCGTCCCCGGGAACGCGCAGCATCCGGCGGAATCCGAGCAACTGATTCGGAGAAACATTTTGACAGAAATGCACGAGGCAACGTTGCATATTTCATCGGTCTCCGCGGGATCGAGCTCTCTCTCTGCCCCTCGAAAGCGTTCTTCTTTGTCTTCTCGGTTCGGCGAGGTTGAAAGGGCTGCGCTCGGTACTTAAACGCGTGATATATGCGATATACACCCGATGCTGACCACAGGTACTTATCCCGGGTAGAGCAGGTAGAGGATACGAGGCCGACTTCTACACGTGTTCGCCTACTTTACATCGCGGTGAGTAATGCGCCACGGAGCTGGCATTAAAAGCCAGCGCGTGTAAAATCGCCTCCGCCAAAGGGTACGTACAAGATGGCCGAGACAAGATGGACGAGGGTGATACACTCTCGCTCGGTTTAAATAATCATAATAATATCCGTCATTAAAACCCTCTTCGAGAAGAAGAAGAAGAAGAGGGAAAAGAAGAGGAATACCATTCTTGGCGATTACGTGCAAATGCGATATATCGATCCGATTCTTCTTTATCTTCCATACGCTACGATGTCATCCGTCACGCCTTTCAATGTAAATCCGCGATATCGACATCGGTCATCGCATGATAATCCGTCGTCGATCGAATACCAAGGCTCGAAGAAAGGTGAAGACAGTTTGCGCCTCGCGTCGCGTTTCCAAGCGTCCCGTGCTGGCTGGGAAAAAAGGGTGGGAAGGTTAAGAGCAGCGGGAGAAATTGAAATTCACGATGTGCGCTCGTATTAGCGACGCGCATACGACGAGCAAATTTCAATCGCGACGATTTTGCATTTAATATTGCGCTCATTGTTTGTACGCGGTCGGATTAATTTTGCGTCGCCAACAGTCGAGCATATTGCCGGCTAATTTACCTACCCCGGGACTAGCAGACTTCGGCCCTGCTCGATAAACGATTATTATTCGATCGTATAGATTATAACGATACTTCCACGCGCGATTCGCCGCATCCCCCCCCCCTCCCTCTCTCTCCTTTCCAATCACGCGCTCCACCGTTTGTTCGTTGATCACTTTTCATCGTTCGATTAACGCGTCGACCATTATACGCGCTTTATTCATCCTTTCTCTCTCTCTCTCTCTCGACATCCGTCGCTTAATTACCTCGACGAGGTATCAATTACGCGGTTACACGTTAACCGATTATTTAAATCGATTACTCGAATCGTTCGTTATTTCGCCACCTCTCTCTCTAAATCACCCCGCTTTTTAAATCCACCCACGCTGCTATCTACGGTGTGCAGAGAGAGAGAGAGAGAGAAAGGTAAAGCTTGTTGTTTCGAAGTTTCGCATTACACGTCTGCTTTCTTCCGAGAAGTGCACGTACTAATTACCTGCTGCGTCAGTCTCCTAGTTAACCGTAGACAGGCAAAGCGAGCCGGGGAGAATGCGAGAGGAAGCGAAAGCAGGAAGAGAGGAAGCGGAGAGAGGCTGGTGCGCGAGTTCCGAAATAACGCTTTCCACCGTCAACATTCCCTCGTCGCTCGACGAGGAATAATTATTATACCGGCGTCTCGTTCGATTATAAACACGAGGCCGAAATCACACACACACATATATATATATGTATGTATATATTCGAGCGTTCGTCGAACGCGAGGTAAACAAGGGAATACGCTCGCGTCGTCGCCAATCGCGTTTGTTCCATCGATTAAATTAATATTTCGTGGTGGTCGGTCCGCTACAGACGCAATCGTTGGTACAAATAACGCGTGTAATGCGATTTCCAAGTAAGCAATTCTCGAAAGTAAGATCGAAAACCACGATCGGTTCTCTTTTCCGTTGCAAGGAATGCGAGATTAGTCAAACCAGTTTCGTCGTCCATTCGAGCCGATTGTTTTCTTCCGCTAATTACTTCGACCACCACCTTGAGAGAGAGAAAGAGGGAGATCCTTTGGATTCCTGGAGAAGAAGCAATCAAGGATGGACGGAACGAAGAGAGGAAAAAGAGAAAGACGAGAGAGAGAGAGAGAGAAGAGAGGGGCGGCGAATCGAAGGCGGCAAGATTCAGAGCGAGGGCCGAGGAGGACTCGGAAGGGGGGCGGAAATTGAGTCGCGTGCACGACGCGCTCCTTCCATTCATCGTGTCCGGGCACTCTTTTATGAATAGCGAAATCGCGTTAAATCACAATACGATGTCTAGACACGTTAATGACGCTCGAGGTATACAATAAGGTTACGTATTTTCTAGGTTGGGCGCGCGAGCGAATGGCCGACCCGGGAAGGAAACTAAATTTCTCGATGGCGCTTAAATGGCGAGGAGGAGAACGAGCGAGCGAGACAGCCGGGTAATCGCTTTAACCAAGTAGCCCGAAAAGAAACGGTACAATGAGATCAAAGGGTGGGACGAATCGAAAGGGCAGCCGGAGGGAAGGAGGGAGGAGTTGAAAGGAGGCTACACGAGCGAGGTTGACACATCGGCTGGCCGGGACCCTTTTGTCCCTCGTCATTATTAAAATTCGCCCCGTTTAACGTTTTTCGCGGCCATTTCTTCCGATATACGTTAAAAATCCGGATAAATAGGTTTATCTTCCAAGATAAATCCTAGTTAGAAGGTTAAATGAAAGTTAGAACGACAGATTCCACTTCGAAGCACGAGTAGGGTTCTCCAGGCAGGAGTTCTCGTTTCCAATTTGATATTCCAAATAGCCGGCGTGCAAACAGGCGATTTGAATCGAACGAACTCATCCTTCTGATCGAATTCTAATCCGGCGTCGAGAATATTCGAGAGAGTGATTAAGAATGAAGGGATCGAACGAAATTGCTCGCCGATTTCACGGAAACGATGGATACGGAAATACGGCGGCGACTTTTACGGGCCGATCGAATGGAGGAGGGGAGGAAGTGGGACGACGAGCCGGTTGCCCTTTCTCGGAAGCAATCTCGAAGACGCTTCCATTGGTTTATCTGTGCGTTCGGTTGTACGGCTGTCGGCCGGCTGTATCGAATGTATCCTGACTCAACTCGATTGCCGTAATACCGGGAAAAAGCTTAACGAACGGATTGTTGCTTCGTCGACAGACGAAACGTGCGGCTGTCACGACGCCCGATGAATGTCTAACGAGTTACGAGGCATTCGTTAGTCGCATGCACAACCGGCTCATTGACGAGGAGCCGTGCCCGACCGAACTGAATATCTTCATTCGAAAATATTTCTCTATGCCCCTTCCTCCCCCCGGGGCTAATTAAATTGTAAATTATACCCGACCGGTTCGAGACGGTCCCCCTTTATCCGTGAAATCGTCTTCACCGCCTGTGTCGCGAGGGAAGGGGTTGTAACGAGTCGATTATACTCCGAAACTTTGCCGGGAGCGATGCCACGAGTTGAATCGTCGCAAGGAACGGAATGGAACAAAAGTAACGAAGGCAAGGCATCGAATTATTAAAGTTGGAACGAATTCTATCGTAATCCTTTTTCGCAAGAATCGCGAATTACGTTGGCTTGTAATATCGATTAACGCGGGTATCGTATCGTATTAACTTGGAAGAGATAAATACAAATCGATGGATTATCCTCGAGGAGGGAAAATTTCGACTCGTCGTCGATCGGAAGTTTAAGGGAAGGCGGGGAGGACACGTGGTGGACAGCGAGCGTGTGGAGGGAGAACGAAAATTGTCAGTCAGGATTAACGTTGCCCGTAGGCTCTATCGTAGGCATTACGTATCCCAGGAAATATTGGCAATAATTCAAACGAACGTCCCCCTCGTACGTGCTAACCTCCTCGGTCACGGTCAATCGCGTCCGACGATTATATCGGCTATAACGCTGTTAAGCCTTCCATTCCGTTCGATATTCCGTCCCTCTGCCTCCCCATCCATTTTCTTTTTTTCAAAGAAGATGATAAATTGGATCGAAACGAAAGAACGCGGATCACCATCTTTCTCCCGTCTATCGTTCCGATACAACACCGTGTTTTGTTGAAAGAAAATCGCGACGATCGCCGAGCGACGAATTAATATTTATTACGCAGCGCTCGTGCGGCTGCTCGTGACAATGTTTACGATCACGTTTGATCGCAAAGCAAAACGTTATTGTGCGTTTAATTATCGTAACCCAGTGCCCATCTTTTGATTAATTCGAGATATTAATTACCGGCTCGCGAGAGCTTTATCGTAATTTCGAATCGAAGCGCGATTAATTACGCGTAATTAAAATCGACGTTGCATCGCGACGTGGATCGAAACGACGACGATTCCGCTCGTGCCCGCCTCCTCCTTCCTTCCTTCCCTCCCCATTTTAATCACGAAACGAGCGAAGGAAAAAACGTGCATGATCAATACGAATTTTCATTCAACCTTCCTATCGTGTGTCGTCGATCCGCCGGCGTTGTAACCAACGCTGCTCGACACGCTCGCTACTCGAGGAATGCGAAAAATTTCATAATTCGCCGTCGATGAAATTTCAATATCCGCGATAATCAAGCCGAATTCTTACGTGTACGCGGCAATTATTTTCGCGGCTTAAACTCCGCTGATTCTTCGCCCGTGAACAGCCGCTCGTCTCCCTTTGAGGCCCTCGCATCGTTCCCGCGGAAATGCCTGCCGATATTGAACATCCGTCTAAGCGCGCGCGTCTCGCGGTTACACGGGAAATTGCTTAACGAACGTGACGTAGAACGGAATCAGCTATACCAATTTCGCGGCACGAAACGCTTTGCCGCTCTGTTGCAACGCCGTCAGGTATTTCGAAACTGATGTAATAACTCGTTGCGAAAACTGATCGTTACGATAATTGGCCGAGGAGGAGAGGAGGGAAAAACTGTTTGAAAAATGACGGCTGATTATACACCGGCGAGACGAGGTTCGATCCCGATCAGATCCAACTATTTTACATCTTTCGCTCCTACTTCTTATCGCTCAAGTTCAACGACTTCCGACGACACGATCGGTTAAATTGCATCGCAGGGATGATTAAAAGCTCCTCCTTTAGAGGAATAGTAGTTCCGAGTCGTTTTGACCATCGATCATCGTCCCGGACTTTGCGCGTTTCACCGCGGATCGTTCAACTTGCTCGTCGTCCAACTTTGTGCAAACTACAACGTTCTCGTTCGAAGAGTGACAGATTAAGTTGAAGAAGTTTGTAAGAAGATCGTCACGGTGTGAAAATGACATCTCGCCTATCTCTTAATTAACATCGATTCATCCGACCGTTTCGATAAAAACGAAGCTGGAAAACGGATATTACGGAGGGTAAAGGGGGGGAATATTAGAAACGAAATTGTCAACGGTTTCGAGGAAGGAAAAAGCTGCGTTCGTTGATGCCGTTCGAGCGGCGGCCGCCGCCGCTTCTTGAATATTCATCCCGCGCCATGTTTCACAATGCGCCATTGTTGCATTTCAATAGAACGGTTCTCATTGTTCAAACGTAATGCTCGCGCGAGGTAAGGGGTCGGCTCATAAACACCGGCCAAAACGTGAGAACCGCCTTTCGACGGAGAGAGAGAGAGAGAGAGAGAGTTTCGTGGTGCACGCTGATTTTTCCCCCTTTGCCCCTTTAATTAATCTCTCTCCTCGCGTGTCGCGCCGAGACTACCCTCCTCTCCCTTTCCTCTAAGTAAATCGGCCCGTATAAGATCGAGCCAGCTCCAGAGACCTAGATAATTGCACGGATGGAATTATTTTGAGCCAACTCGACTCAAAAGAAGAAGAAAAAATAAAATGTAACGCGGAGTTTCGTACTCGAAAAGGGATATATAACCTGGAAATCGGTTTCTCGATCGAAAAACCTCCGTCATATCGCGATATGAAACGTAATTGGCCCTGGAGCGGTAGTTTTCAACGGTAACTGGACGACTGGAACGGCCACGGTGTGCCCTCGTTACGGCCGAGTGTCAGGTTTCTTAAGAAAGAATCGCGGGCGGGAAATGGGGGAAGAAGGGAAGGAAACGGTTTTCTCAAGCGCGGCCGAGATAATAAGTAATTGCACGGTTAGTGGTTAACGAGCGGCGCCGTTGCATCACGGACGGGACGATGATGCGTACCGTGTCGAATTCACGGGGTCCGTTTTCCTCCTTCAACACGGTTACAAGCGGAATTGCTTAATGATGATACTCGTTCTCCCGTTCACTTAGTTTAGTATGATGCCAATGGGGAAACCGCGACATAAGTGGATGGTGTCCCGTGTGCTTCCAAGCCCTTCTACGGTTAAGTGCACCAAGGGATGCCGGAGGGTGCAGTCGCGCCACCGACGAGTAGTACGCGTCCCTACCAACTCGAGGGGGATACTCCTCCCGCTTTCCCCGAATTTCTCTACCGACCACTCCCTGCTACTACTCGATATTTAATTCACCACACATTTTTCTCCCTTTTTCTTCTCGTAAAAAGTTTCTGTTGTTCCGCGCAATTCTCCACTATTTATAAGGATTTATAAGTCACGAAAATATAGCCGGTGTTATCGAAAGAAAAAACAAAATCTCTCGAAAGTCTTCCTCTTTTCTTTTCGTAACGAATCGTAAGGCCAATCGAGCTCCATTATTTAACTCGCTTTCTTTTTTTTTTTTGAATCGAGCGTGAGAATTATATTAATCCCTCGGTCGAATTCGAGCGAGAAATTTATCTGTGAAAAGTTTCGTAAGTACCGGGGGGAATTATCGGGATGGTGAATGGAAGAGCTGCCCGCCATCCAGATAGTACCCCTTGGAAGGGATTGCGCGCGTAAAAAAAAAGTCGTCGATACGAAAGAGAGAGAGAGAGAGAGAGAGCGTGTATATGCGTAGTTAGTTTTTCCCTCTGTCTTCCCTTCCCTTCCTCGCCGTTTTGTTTTTTATCGGCCGCCGCCCGATGAGGAGTACGTATGCTGTCAGATCAAAAGCATGAAAATGCGGGGGAGGCTGCGGCTGCGTCCGGCAGAAACAATGAAAGCAAATACGGGCAATGGAAAACTACCGTCACAAAAGGACGAAAAAGCGGTCATTGCTGAGTTACAAAGGACCACGCGCGGAAAAGTACCGTGGATATCCAGTTTGGGCAAACACCAGGACGGGTAAAAAAAAAAAAAACAACGCACGCACGAAAGGAGAGACGTGGAAGAGGAGGAGGAGGAGATGGAATAGGCTCGGCGACGAAATATTGCCGTACGAAAAACCGCCGATATATCGGTGATGATCGCATATGTAACCGTCACATCGTGCTCCCTTTTATCGATGTCCAATGAGGTAGAAAAAAAATCCCGAGTGGGAATCGATCGAGGTGGAAAACAACCTCGACGCGTGCGGGCGTAAAAAGAATTCGTTGCAGTAGCAGAGAGAGAGAGAGAGAGAGAGTTGTTGCTTGCCGATAATTACGCGCAATTTGCTCGGTA